CTATAGGGTATTTTGCTCACTGAAATAAGCCAGGTGGACAAAGACAAGTATCAAATGATTTCACGCCTCTGTGGAGTATAACAACAAAGACAAAAGCTAAAGTAACAAAACAGCAGCTGACTCACAGAACTCAAGAATGGACTAACAGTTACCGAAGGGAAAGGGACTGGGGAGGATGGGTGGGAAGGGTTGGACAAGGGGGAAAACGGGCATTATGATTAGCAGACATAGTGTATGGGTGGGGGGGGGGCACGGGGAAGGCTGTACAACAAAGACAAGTAGTGATTCTATAGCATCTTACTATGCTGATGGATAGTGACTGTAATGGGGTATGTGGTGGGGGCTTGATAATGGGGGGAGTCTAGTAACAATAATGTTGCTCATCTAATTGTAGATTAGTGATATCAAAAAAAACTATTAAAAAAGGATATTAGGGAAGGTTCAACCCAGTACAGATCTATTATAAAAATTTTCTCCTACCCTGCAAAAAATAAAAATAATACAATTTTAAATGCCTATATAGGGGAATATCTTCATATTCATATTCATATGAGAATGTCTTCTGGTGTTGGGGGTAGACAAGGATTTATTTGAAAAAACACAAAACCACTATGTATAAAGTAAAACGATTAATAACTTTGACTATATTATAGTTAAGAACTTCTGTTAATTTAAAGAAACCACCAAGAACTTGATCAAAAGATAAGAGACAAAGTGGGGAAAGATATATGCAACATATATAAAGTACAAAGGACTAATGTAAATATATATAAATAACTTCTATAAATTAATTTGAAAAAGGCACATTACCCAATAGAAAAAGTTGAGGAATATTTGGATAAATGCTTCACAATACAAGAAATCCTAATATCCAACAGGCATATGAAAAGATGCTCAACATCATTAGCAATCAGGAAAATCAAATTACAAAAGGCCACTTAATATCCACTAAATTGGCAAAAATTAAAGTCTGATAATAAAAGTGTTGGCCAGCAGGTGGAGGAGTGGGAACTCCTAAACACTGCTAGTAAGGGTGTAAACTGGTACAAGGCATTAGGAAAATTTAGTCATTAGGAAATGTTAGGCATTATCTAGGCGCATTGAAGGTGCCCATACCCTGTAAACCAGTATTCCACTCTTCAATAAAAATCCTGGAGACACCTATGTACACCTGTGTTTATGTACACAACTAAGAATATTCGTGGTAGCACTGTTTTGTAACAGTCAAAAACAATTAGAATGTCTCTCAAAGTTAGATAAATTTTGTATATTCATACAAGAGTATTTGCAAATAAATGAAATAACCAAACAACGAGATGTCTACACACCTACTAGAATGGCCAAAATTTGGAACACCAACAACACTAAATGCTGACAAGGATATGGAGCAGCAGGAACTCTCATTCACTGCTGATGAGAATGCAAAATGATACAGCTACTTTGGAAGACAGTTTAGAAGTTTCTTACAAAACTAAATATATGCTTGCCATACAATCCAGCAATTTTGCTCCTTGGTGTTTATCCAAAGCTGATGAAGACATATCTGCACAAAATCCAGCACACACAAATTTATAACAGCTTTATTCATAGGTGCGCAAACTTGTAAGCAACCCAGATGTCCTTCAGTAGATGAACGGATGCATAAACAGTGATACATCCAGACAGTGGAATATTATTCTGAGCTAAAAAGAAATGAAAGCCACAAAAACATGTGGGGTAACTTAAATGTATATTAATAGGTTAAATAAGCGAATCTGAAAAGGCTACATACTGTATGATTCCAACTGTATGACGTTCTGGAAAGGGCAACACTATGGAGAAAATAAAAAGATCAGTGGTTGCCAGAAGATGGGATGGGGGAGGGGAGTGCAAATAGGTAGAGCACAGAGGATTTGGTGGGGGGCAGTGGAGCTACTCTGTATGATATTATAATGATGGATATATGTCATTACACATTTATCCAAACCCGTAAAATATACAACACTAAGAGTTGAACACTGGGGTAAACTACGGACTTTAAGTAGTTGAAATGTGTCAATGTAGGTTCATCAGCTGTTACAAATGTTCCACTCAGATGGGGGATGTTGATAATGGGGGGATAAATTATGTATGTGTGAAAGCAGGGGGTATATGGTAAATCTCTGTACTTTCTTTTCAAATTTGCTGTGAACCTAAAACTGCTCTAAGAAACAAACTTTTTTAAAAAGTAAGTTTATCACAATCTTAAAAATTGTAATAACTATAGCTTCCAGCAATAACATGGCTGAATCTCACAAATAATGTGGAGTGAAAGAAGATAGTCAGAACTCCAAGTATATTAAGTATATAAAGTTCAAATATCTGTAAAACAAAACTGTGTTGTTTAGGGATGCTTACATGGAAGATAAACCTATAAAGAAAAGCAAAGAAATGATATCACAATAGACAAGATAGGGGTTACGTCTAAGGTGAATGGAGGAATGTCATCAGGTGGGGGCTGGGGGACAGAGGGACTAAGTGAGTGGGGGTTATTGAGGTGTTGTTTCTTGTCCAGGGTGGTCATTACCTGGGTGATTGACAACTTTATAAAAGTTCTTTTAACTGGCAGTTCTTTTCTGAACGTTTCTCTTTTCTTAATAAAATGGAAAGCAAGGTCACCAAGTGGGATCAAGGATGGGGGTAGGTGGTGTTGAAGATTTGAGGAAAAGGAAGATGGTAGAAAAGAAAGAGGTTGGAGAGTAACCAGAATAGGGGAATATAGTCTTTTTTTATCTTAATTCTTTAATGAAAAATTTTCCCTTTTTCCTCATTTCTAATGCTTTTTCTCTTGCATATAACATTATTTTATTAATTTTAATATTGTACATTATATGCAGTTATTCCCAGTTAAATTATGATATTTAATGTTTAAAAAGAAATTTTAAAAGCATAATTAAGTCTTAATAAATCATATAATTATGATAATAGTAATACATGGTATTTATTATTTCATCTTGAGTTTTAGAGAAGCTAATGTAGTTCATATTTAGACAAAAATAAGCAGGGCTCATACCAGTATTTTTTTTCTTTTTCTTTCAATTTTTATATCAGGTAGCTTAAGTGTTAATTCTTCATTTTATAACTTTTAAACAGACATAAATATTTATTACCTATTCTTTTATTGATCTCCATTCCCAAAGTCATTTTTTAAATGTCAGGAAATATAAACATATTAGAATCACAAAACTAAATACTGATATTTAAAATTACTGGAAAACTATTATACTCTTAAATTTACTTAGAAGATTTAAATGGAAAAAGTTGTTATGTATATGTAATTTTATAATTTTGCATACGTTTTTATATGAACCAATTTGTAAAAAATCAGTTATTTAAATTATAACATGATTTGGTTTATATACATGTTTATATTGTAATTATATAGGCTTAAGTATGAATATACATAGTGTAAATTTAAAATTTTTATAAAGGCAAATGTAAATTTAAAGTTACCATCAATGTTGCTTTAAAATATGCCATGAGTTTTCATTTTCTATATTCTATAGATCTTCCTTGATATGTGATGGGGTTATGTCCCAATAAAGCCATCACAAGCTGAAAACACTGTAAGTCGAAAATGCACTTAGTACTTAATTGACCTACCTCACATCATAGCTTAGCCTCGTTTACCTAAAACATCATCAGAACACTTATATTAGCCTTCAGTTGGGCAAAATCATCTAGCACAAAACTTATTTTGAAATGAAGTGTTGACTACCTCATGTAATTTATTGACTACTGTACTGAAAGTGAAGAAAATGGTTGTATGGGGACAGGATGGTTTTAAGTCCTATTGTTTGTTGACGCTCATGATCACGTGGCTGACTGGAAGCTGCAAATCACTGCTACTGCCACTGTCCAGCATCAGAGGAGAGTACGTACTGCATATCTCTAGACCAGGAAAAGATTCCAATTCAAAACCCAAAGTAGAGTTTCTACTGAATGCATATTGTTTTTGCACCATCATGAAGTCAAAAAATTGTAAGTCAAACCATCATAAGTCAGGAACTGTCTATATAATAACTCTGCTATTGTCATAAAGATCAAAGTTTTTTAAAAAATCATTTGAATCTACAAATACCGAATCTAGAAATATTAAAGTTACAACTCTTGGATAGCTCAGGAAAAAATATTGTGTATGTAGCTAGAGAATGAGTGCTCAAATAAAACAAATGGTGTAAAATGTTAACAGTAGGTGAATTGAGGTAAAGGATATGTGGGTGTTCTTTATACTTTGATTACACTGGCAACTTTTCTAAGTTTGAAATTATTTCTAAGTAAGAAGTTAAAATGAAGAAAGGGACATGGACTGAAACAGTGATATAAGTGGAAATCAACAGAATACTTGGGAATAAATGCATCTCTTGAATTAAAAAGTGGGGGAGTATGGTAATTTATCCCCTCCTTTTCAGCTGTAAAGCCAACACCACAAGCTATATTATGATTTCTTGTAAATAAATTTTCTCCTGAGAGCTAGCCTTGAAATATAACTAGCTGATGTTCTGTTTTTCTTTTCTTTGTGCAAACTCCGTCCCCAGTCCTTGAATCCACAAGCAGAGTATTGTCCCACTCAGTCCAGTCTGCACAGGGATCAGATGTACAGACTCATCTGAAGCTATTCTAGACCAGCCATTTTCTATTGACTTTGCTGGCAAATGCTCTCTGTTCTCATGATCACCTGCAGCTGTGTCATTAATTTCTGTGATATTAAGTGAGGAATTCTCATTGCTAGAATATATAATCAGATCATTTAAAATGACAAATTCAGTTCAGTAATGAGGTGCAAGTGGAGGTCATTATCAAGGTATCATCTCTAAGAGGAAAACTGCAACATGTCACCTTGGAAACCCTCAAAACTCCAGCGTTGAAACAAATTCCAGCATTATGCAATGTGTTTCTGATTGTGAAATTTCAGTTCCCATAGTGTTGCCAATAGCAAACGTGCCATCAATAACACGAACTCATCAAATGTTCCAGTTTAAAGTCATTTTATTATTATTATTATCAGCAGCAGCAGCATTACCATTAGCACAAAACTAAGTACACTAATAAAAGAAAACAAAATCACACCCCAAAGGCATGTGTCTTACTGGCGGTGAGTCAATCACATTATCTTCATGTACAAGGGACAGCACCCTGAGGATAAAGACCATATCACAGCTTGAGAATCAATTCAGTAATTCAGCCAACATTATTAAGCACCTAGGCACAATAGGAGATTAAAAATGCATACAAAAATCCCTGCTGTCAAGGAGTTTTACAGTATAGTAGGAGGTATTGAAAAACATCAAGAAGAACACAGGGCCATATGACATCAGTGACATAATGGAGGCAGTACCATGTATTAAGTGTTATTGGAGAGGGCATCACAAGAGCCTAACATCACATTCAGTTGTGGGACATCAAAGACACTGCAAAGGGAAGGTGACATCTGAGATAGGCCTTAAGGAACTAGGACTTTGGCAGACTGGCATGTGGAGAGAATTGTGAGGGCCAAAGCATGGCCACAGCAAAGCCCATGGCATGTTTGGGGAAAGAACAGTAGACCAGTATGGCTGGCTGTATAGGATCTATATAATGGCAGTGGTATGATAAAATGCTGCTAGTTGGAAAGCAACCATATTTTGAATGACTGTGAATAACAGGCTAAGATTTCTGATTTTTAATTTATGTCACAGTTATTTTATTTATCCACAGCAATAAAATATATAATTACTTATGAAGAGATATGGTCATTTCACTTCCATATTTCTTAGAAAAACTCAAGTGATTTCTAGGCAGTATTCCTGCCTTACTATCAAAAAGGGCCCAGCAAGTGACATCAAGAAATCTCTAGTAAATTCTCCACATGTGACTAAATCTCTTCCCTCAGAGTCTATTCCTTCCATCCATCCAGCGACCACACTTCCTCCCACTCCCACCTCCAACCCTACCAGTTCTGTGCCACCTGATCAGCTGAGGCAAACGCAACTTAGGATTTCCAGCCACATATGCCATCCTGAAACTAGGACCCACAGCCTTGAGAAGTGAGAGCAGTGGTGGTAGGGGTTATGAACAAATGACAATGTAGCTTTCCGAGAAGTTGTATGCATAACTATCCTGAGTTCCTGGTCTTCCACTCAGTCTGACCCAGAAGACACCTGGAAGGGTCCTGGAACTCACAATAACTGCATAAAGTTTCCTCTTATTGTCAATGAATTCCTCAAAGGAATCACATTCCATTTGGTTACAAGTTATTGAAAAGCATCCTGGGTCAGAGGCTGTTGAATGAAAGTGTGGCTACACTGGGGTAATTTTCTCTTTCTGATCAAGGAACCCTGTTGGGCTCTGTCTATGCCCAGCAGGCTGGTAGATGGGAAATTCTCCCATGCACTGACATTCAAAGGTGCTAAAGAATGGTTGTATTAGGTAACCAAGCCAAAGAAGTAAACTATTTAGACCAACCCAGGAGCTTTGAAAAACCAAGTTGCCATAGCCACACTTTCTGAAGCTAGTCAGTCTTTCAGCTCTTTCCTAGAACGTGACCTCCTCTGCAAGAAGTCATGGATAGCAGTAGTGAGGCCCCATGTCACACTGGACCTCAGGATGACCAGGGAACCTCCACGGTAGATGAGGAACACCTTTCGGCCCCGAGTGTCCCACACATCCTGAGCAGATGCCCACAGGCTTGGCATGCTCTGCCAGCCAATATGGGACTGCATATTGGCCACTAACACAATCAGAGGATACAGAACCAGGCAGGTGATTGTTCCATTGACACTTCCCGACACCAAGGCAGGAACCCAGTGGGGCAGGCCTTGCTCTGCCAAGCCATCCTGGATGGGGTCCTTGAAGGAGAAATACAGAGCACTTCCCAGGCTGTTCCTAAGAAGGACAGGCCAGAAACCACGATAGTAGCCCAGCGACAGCCGCCCCCAAAGCCCATAAGAGTTGAATTCCTTGAGAATGCTGAAGGTGCTGGGGAAGCGAGCTTGCTTACGACCATCCTGGAGCACATTCTGCACCCTTTCAAAGGGACTGAGGGCCAAAGCCTCCACCACACCAGACATGAGCCCTGCGGTCCAGCGGTGTCCCAAGGAGTGTGGCCCAACAGGGGAGAGACAGCACAGCAGACTATCATAAGTCCCAAACAGTAGGGTCCCTTGCAATGTCTTGGACAGAAGAGGTGGGTAGATTCCCCGGTAGAAGTATTGAGGGCCTTCGTGCCAAAGCTGTCGCACAGCCTCTGACACCGCCACAGCATGGATCTGTTGCCGGAACACAACCTTATAGATAGGAAAGGTCAGAAAAGTAGACATAAAGTTGGAAACAGCCCCAAGGGCATATGCCTGTGAGTGCCAGCTTTTCTTTCCTGGAGCCTCTGCTCGCGTCTTGTGCTGAAGATCCTTCCTGGGAGAGTGGCTCTGTTCCCCCATGCTGCAGACAACTGGGTGCAGAAGGAAGAAACTGACAGGAGTGGAAAAAAAAAGAGGTTAGACTGGCCGGTTAACTCTGTTGGTGAACATTTTCTTTGCTTAGTTAGAAACAGAGCCTAAGTCGGGTAGAAACTCAGTTCTTAGTTAGAAACTCAGCTCTAAGGAAACAAGCAAGTCTTTGGGCCAGTTTCTGAGAAATTGGCACACTCTTAAGAAAGAATTCATCAGCCTTAAAGTAAAGCAAAGGCAGTTCATTTTACTGTACAGTCACCTCTACAGTGTTTTGCTGACACAGCAAACATTCTAATATTCAAAGAAGGCTGAATATTGAAGAAAGTAAAAATGAGGAAGGAGGGCTCCAAAACCTATTGCATTCAATTTTCACCACGTGAAATTTTTCATTTGATAAACTACTAGAATAATAAGGTGCTATTCTCTTTCTGAAAAGTGGCACTATCTCGTAGAGAGGCAGAAAGGCATTCAGAAGTTGTAGTCCAGTAATTAGAGGCTGGTAGGAAATCTGGAGTGCAGGAACTCCCCCTCACCTCTCTTTTTGTAGATTCCTGACAATACTGTAGCTGTTTTGTGACACCAGCCCCCACGTGAGGAACAGAATGAGTAGCTCTTCCTGGAAGTTCAGTGCCAAAAGGCTTCCAACCTGGCAATTTTCAAGCCTTATCTTGCAGACCTGTAGCTATAGAGCAGAGCAGTGGTTTGAATCCCAACACTATTGACATTTGGGGCCAGATAATTCTTTGTTGTAGTTATTTATCCTGTGCATCACAGGCCACTCAGCAGCATCCTGAGTAAAGCATCAGAAAGTAAAAATGAGGAAGGAGGGCTCCAACTGCATTCAATTTTCACCAGGTGAAATTTTTCATTTCATAACCTGCTAGAATAATAAGGTGCTACTCTCTTTCTGAAAAGTGGCACTGCTGCTTCTACTCCCTGGGTGCCAGGAGCAACAGTTATGACCTACCCAGGGATGACAACCAAAATTATATCCAGACATTGTGCTGTATGTCCTCTGAGAGGCAAACCCACCCCAGGTTCCGAACCACTGCACTGCACAGAGCGGAGAGGTAGTACAAGCACTCCAAACTAGTGCTCCCTCCCCAGGAAGGTCTGGGAGCACATGGGGTAGTACCAAAGGCAACTGGGGAGCCAGGGCTCGTGAAAGAAATTGGAATCAGGAAGAAATGAGTGCTCAGTGCAGATCTGAGAAACTGAGGGACTTTATTGTGAATAAAAAGGGGTTCCACTCAGGCCCCCAATCCCACAGGGGCCCCCAACATTCCCCAGAGACCCTACCAAGGACCTTTTTCCCTACGTTTTCCTACTCCTAAATAAGGACTGGTAGCAAGGGGAATGTTTGTCCCCTCTCCTATCCCAGAGTGGGATAATGTTCTGCTTCCTCCCTCTATTTTCCTGAACAACCTATAAACATGTGTTGACTAACTGCATAAGGCAGTCCAATTTAGCAGAAAGAAAATTGGGCTAGGATTTGGCAGACAAGCATTCTAAGTGCCAGTTGTTATCAGCTTCCTGTATGTTAGAAATCCATCGGCAACTTGGAGCCTTGTCCAGCTCAGTTATGAAATGAGCAGACAGGACACAATGCCCTCTAGGCATCTTCATACTGTACACATCACATAGGTTGACATGGGGGAATTCGGGCCAATATTTGATTGAGGAATTGTGCTGCTCCCTCCTTCATTCCTTCTGCCATTTTTGCCAGTCATTTTCAGGGATTAAAGGTGAACAATCATTTAGAAACGCCTTACCTTCAATATCTAATTAATCATTTTATAAATCCAATTCTTCCTATTTTATGGGGAAGGAGGATGTTTTTTCTCCCATGTATTTTTCTGTTGAAAGGCCAGGCTTTGGGGGAAGACGGACCTGAGGCTGAATTCTGCCTCCATCACTCACTTACTTGTACTACCTTAGGCAACACACTTTACTCAGTCCCCGTTTCTTTGAAAAGGGACAACAGACCTACCTCAAAGGTTTTTGCAAACATTAATAAAATAAAATGAGATAAAGTAGTTGAGCATCTGTGGCATGCTGGCCTCAATAAAAAATATCTTTAAAAAAAGAAAGATACTTCCTGAGTTCACCATCTGTATCCACAGAGCACATGCCCCTGCAGGACACCCTCAGGTCAGCCAGACCCAGATGAAGCAGTAGGTAGAGTGAAGCAAGTCCTGTGTTCATGGGAGGCAGGGAAGACCTTTCCTCTGTGAATGTCAAGATGTTATATAAACAATCCTGGACAGCCTGACCTCTGAACATAAATGCCAAGTAGAGACCACAGAATGGGCCTGGAATTGGCCTGGAGCACTTATCCCCTTTACCCTATGATGTGCCTCCTATGTTTACAGCCTAGTAAAGTGAGCTCCATCCTAGACTTGTACCCGTACTTTGGTTAATTAATATGTGTTGTGGCATCAGGGAGACTTGGTACCGAGTTCCCTGGCCAGTCAAGTCCAGATGGACAGCCTCTGTGAACACCCCACACTCCAGCCTCACATTTGTCCATTCACTCAGGGCATCCCTCAGCTGGTCTTTGTTCATGTCACAAACAAATATGATCATCTACTAACTTGTTGTGGGTAGATCACTGTGGATCTAGAAGTGAAGAAGATTGGGACCTATTGTCAAGGACCTGAGAATCTAGTGGGGTCACAGGTCAACCGTGAGATAAACTACACTGGAAGGCAAAATAAAGGGTGCATGCAAAAGTTCTCAATCATAATGTAGGGTGGTCACAGGGATGGAAGTACAGCATGGAGAGTATAGCCAATGATCCTATAACATCTTCCTGTGTTGACTTAGTGACTGCACTAGAGGGGGTAAGGATTTAATAACATGGGTAACTGTTGAACGACTGTGCTCTATACTTGAAATTAATCTAAGACTGTCTATCAGTTTTTAAAAAAAGGGTGTACTAATCAGGGTCAGAGCAGAGAGACAAGAGCAATTTATTCCACTTGGGAGAGGAAGCAACCAAAAAAATTTCTCTGAGAAGGGCATCTGACTTGATCCTTAACCAATGAGCAGGTTCTTGTTAGGTGGTGTGAGGGCAGGCATTCCATGCTGAGGAAGAGGTCTAAGGCACAGAGGCCTAAAAGCATGAGCGGCGCAAGGCACTGGACACAGACCGAAGGAAGGAGATAGAGCTGTGGCAGACAAACAGGAGCCAATCTAGAATGAGCGCCATATTTGTTTTCCCCAGTGCAGTGTGTTACAGCAGAAAAACACAGGTTCTGCATTCAGACAGCTCAGGTTTGAATTTCGCCATGCCGCTTCCTAGCTTTGTGACTTTGGCTGAGTCTCTTCCTGTCCCTGAGCCCCAATATCTTTATCTGTAAAATGATTGTCATGAAAGTTGCAGGAGATGAAGTATATAAAAGGTTTATCAGACTACCCAGATATAAATTGCTTTATAGGTTAAATTAGTACTTTCACTTTTTAAATAACGAGATCCCAGGAACAGAGGTAAGATAACAACTATGTTGTTCTAGAGGCTGCAATCGGCCTACTGTGCTGGATCATCAGCTGAGTGTATTTTGTATTGCTTCTTTGGAAGACAGCAGAGAAGAGATGGCCATGGGCTTTGGGGTTTGACAGCCCTGGGCTGGAGTCCCAGTGCCTCCACTTACAGGTTGAGTGGCCTTATACAAGTTATCTAACCTTCCTGAAACGCAGTTTCCCTGTGTGCAAAATGGTATAGATAACATTGCCTGTCTCAACAGGGGTGTCAAGGAGCTTATGTGAGACAACAAATGTAAAGTTCCTGGCACAAAGGAGGCAGGCAGCCAAGGCCAGTGATTAGTGTTTCAACTAAAAGCCTTACCCTCCTAACTTTCAGGCTTTTAAGGCTGGTTTGTTGAAACTGGAAAATGTGGCCACATTAGGGATGTGAATTGGAACACACTCCCACATGAGGCCTCCTCCCAGTCTTGCATGAAAGACCCTCACTTTGTTCTAATGGTCCAATCGAGGCACCTTTACATAATCCATTTCCTTTCAGTTTTTTGTCAGAGCTCTAAGATCTATTCTTTGTCCTATTTGATCCCACTCTCACCAGGTCCAACTGCAGATCACCTAATTTGGCAATGAATCCAATTTAAACACAGAACAAGAACCTACTGTGACCCAAGGTCAGATGTCATGGTACTGGGGAGCAGAAGCAAGTCTGAAGGAAACCCCAGAGCTACTGTCAGCATCATCCCTGACTGTGTGAAGTGAGCCTTCTCTCTACCTCCCTGTGCCCTCCATTCCCCACAACTGTTCTATCCACAAGAGAATGGCCACAGTAATCAGATGGAAGGTGCCTCATCTCCAAATTTGAATTGTTTACTCTAAGGAACTTCAGGTGTTATGGTTGTAAACAAGAAGGTAGAAGGGAACAGGTGAGGTATGTGGGCAGGCTGAAGACAAAACCAGTAGCCGTTGAATGGGTATCAGATTGCATTTGCTTCCAAGCATCAAGAGTCAAGAACAAGCCCCATGGGGGGGCCTCCAAGCCACATTCTACACAAGGGAAGTTAAGACTTGCTCTCCAAGAACTAGAAGTCATGGAAAATTGAGCACATTTCCCAGCCACTAGTTTCATGGCCCATTCACTCTGGACAGCCCTGCATGCCGTTTCCATGGAGTTGCTCCTTCTCGGGGGCCAGTGATGCCAAATCCGGCAAAGAATAGGTCCCGTCAAGAGCTCACAGAAGGGCAGCCTAGCAACGTGTCCTCAAGCCAGGAAATGAAAGAGCTCTATCAGCAGCAGAGAGCTGTGGTTCAAGGGCTAGGTAGAACTGTCTCATTTCTCATGCTTCTTCCTCATGTACAAGTTGAAAGAGGATGACTATGAAGAACGATTGTAGAGGAGTGATTCCTAACCATTTCTGGGCCACAGACACATTTGAAAATTTACAAACCTATGGACTTAGAAAATATACAAAGTCTAAATTATTTGCAAACAATTTCAGGAAGGACACTAGGTTCTCAGGTCTGCTCTGTAGTTACAGACAGATATGCTGTGGACAGATACATTGGCAGCAAGTCCATTTGCTTATTACCCTCAGCGTGATGTGCTGTTTTCAGAAGTGGTTCACAAACCTCTCTATACCTCAGAATTAACTACAGCACTGGCTATAAACCATACTCCCCACCCCTAGTCCTAGTAAATCCTAATACCTCAGATGTGGGGTTCAGAAATCTGCGTATCTAACAAGCTCTCCAAAATGATTCTGAGGCAGCAAGCCTTGCGCCCATACTTTGGTTAATTAACACGTATTGTGGTGTCAGAGAGAGATGGTCCAAATTTTGGCTTTACCCTGTAATTTCAAGCAAGTCATTTCACCTCTCTGAGCCTTTGTCTACTTTGGGGCTCTAAGTTGTAGAAATAATGTTTTAATTTTTAAAATAAACAGTTTGTTATAGTTTTTTAAAAAAGAGTATAAAAAAGAGAAAAGTGTCCCAGTTTCCTCTTCTGCATGATGGGTACCATAAAAGTTGCCCAACTCTTCCCCATCCCTGCCCTTTGACAATACCACCACACCAGGACTGCTGTTGAGAGGGTTTGAGACCACCCATGTGAAAATGCTCTATAGGCTGCTCAGCAAGGCAAACAGTTGGCACTTGGAGAGCAACAGACTGAGGTGCAAAATTACATGTTGACAGCAGTATGATGAGGAGCAAGATGAATTAACTGTGTCTGTCTCCTCATCTGTAAAATGGAGAAAATAGTCTTAGTTCGCTAATTCTGTATAATTCCAAACGGGCCTTTCCATTTTCACTTTGGCTTTTTTCCACTAACCCTCAACCTGAGAGTAGAAAGGAGTGTTCACACGGAGCAGCCTTTGAAATTAGACGGGTCGACTTGGGTGTAAGCTCTTAGCTTTGCACTTCTAACTGCACTAACTGCCTGGGTGCTTAAGTCTCCGCTGTTAAATGGGAATACTGCCACCTCCACAAGGCTGCTGAGAAGAATAAATATGTCGTGCGAATGCATCTGCACGCAGAAAGCGCTCAGTACATGTTTCCCCACCCCCCTCGCCCCTATACAAAGGTGAGGAACTCATTGTTCACTTGATTTCAGTCCCACCTCGTGTCTGGGGCATCCGGGCTTCAAAGCGCAGAAGGAGGCGGGTGGAGATGGAAGGGGAGAGGAAGAAGGGAAGCGAGGAGGAAGCAGCAAACTCACGGGTAAAATGCAAATCGGCTCTGTCGGTGCGTCCGAGCTGCACTTGACACCACGCCGGCTCCCGCGCCCGTGTGCCACAGCCCCCGCCGGCCGGTACCCCACTTTGGCTAGTAATGGCCTTGGGCCGGAGGCTGCGCGGCGAGGTCGTCCCCGCGGCCCGCTGATTGGCCGCTCCGCCCTGCTCATCACGCGCTTTTGTCTCACTGGGTAGAGGCTAAAAGAAGCGGCGGCTGCGGGAAGGGCCAAGCAGGTGGGCGGGGGCGGCTGCTGCTGTCGTGGGAACCGTGTTGCCGCAACTCGGCTACCCCAGGCTGAGCGGCAATGCCTAGCAGCTCTATCAGGCAGCCCCGGGTCGCTTAGCGGCTAAGGAAGCGTCATCCTTTCCCCTGCAGGGCCGCGGAGACCGGAAGGTGGCATCCTCAGCTCTCCAAGCCGGAGCTACCGCTGCCCACCAGCCCAGCACAGGTAAAGAAAGGGGGCGATGCCTCGAGCGGGAGAGGAGGGGAAGCCCCACCGGTACTGGGCAGCTCCCCGCTTGGGGAATCGAGAAGAGGGAAGCAGAGGAAGGAGCACTACCGTGGTCCGGCTGCGCGGAGGGAGGAGGTGGGCTTCTACTGGATGCGGCCGAATGGGTAGGATTTGCCTGGATTGGGAGGGGAGCATTTCCAGAAGGTTGGTAAGGGCGAGGCGGGGAGAGAATCTCAAACTGTCTGCCCTGAACCCTTTGGCATCTCCTCATCTCTTCCTGGGGTGCTGTCTGTGGGTGTGAGTTTCCATCTCCTGTTCCCTTTCTCTCTGGCAGGCCTGATCAAAGCCGAGTCCGAACTTGAATGCAGTGCAGCTGATGGCAGGGCTGGTAGGCCGGCCATTTCCCGGGGCAGATGTAATGGTGTGGGAATTGCTTTGGCAAGTATTCAGGAGCTGTGTGAGGGAATTTTCATTCTGGCAACAGCGAGGCCCCCCCGGGGGGTGGGGCGTGGAGGTTGGGGAGGGAGGAAGCAGGTTGCGGAAAGAGGCTGCTTCTGACTTTTTCCCTTTGCGGCTCTGCCTTCCGCAACCGCTCAGTCCTGATGCGCTGAGGACTGGGACCTGTTAACCCCAGGAGACCGAGGTCGACCAACCCCGGAGGCGAGCTTTCTCAAGGAGGGGCCCCTGTTGCAGAGGCTGGAAGGGAAATAAAGGCACGCACTAATTTCTGAGCCCCAGTAAGAATCTGAGGAACAACGGGGGAAACTTTCAGAAGGGGATGCGTCTAACACCTGAGACCGTGAGTTTAATGGAGATCGTATTATCACCACATAATCTGTGAGATTTAGACTGTTACAGTCTGTTTTGAGAGCCCAGTAATGGCTCCACACACTATTTCATTGACAACTCAAAGCAACAGCTGTCCTCCATCCTGGAGGACTGGTGGGAGGGGATGGATGCGGCTCAGAAAAGCACCCTGCTAGCTCGGGGACACCCGCCAACTCCAGAAGGTTGTAATTGCTAGTCTCCTGCAGGGTATTTTTAGGGCAGTGGGTAAATGTAAAATGTACTGCAAGAGGTTCAGCAAGGTAGAGAAGGCCACTTCAGGGAAGCTGTCTACTACTTTATTAACATTTTTTTCCGCTTTCTTTCCTTTTCTTTACAGTCCTCATTGACATACAAGGAAGGCTAAGCCCAGGAGCGTTGCTTTGGGGATTTCTCCTGCAGGTTAGGCTTTTCTAAAAAGCCTGAGCATCTTGTCATATTCAGATGGAGGTCATCATCGTCATGGGCCGGTGGGGAAGGCACTCTAGCTGCCTTGGGCCCATTCCCTGTTGAGATCCCTGAGGAGGAGTCTTGTTTCTTTAAGGGTCAATATAGAAGAAAGAAAATGAAGTTCTTTTCAGGGAGGGTGGTGCCAGCCCAAGGGGAAGAAACCTTTGAAAACTGGCTGATCCAAGTCAGTGGGTTCCTGCCAGATTGGATATGTCTGAGAAGGAAAAGCTCAAGCACTTGATGACAACCCTTAGGAGTCCTGCATGGGAGGTCATGCATTTGCTCCAGGTTGCCAACTCCAACTTAAGTGTGGCAGAATTCTTGCATGCCAATGAAATTGGTGTTTGGGGAGTCTAAAAGCAGTATCACTGCCCATGGTAAATTTTGTTAACACTTTGCAGGCACAAGGGGAAAAAGCCTCCCTTTATGTGATCCATTTAGAGGTACAGCTCCAGAATACTATTCAGGCAGGGATCATAGCTGAGAAAGATGGAAAGCAAACTCACCTGCACCAGCTCCTTTTAGGGGCTGAGCTGAACAGGGATCTGTGCATCAGGCTGAAGCATCTTCTCAGTGTGTATGCAAATGATCAGGAGCATCTTCCCAATTTCCTGGAGTTAATCAAGATGATAAGGGAGGAAGAGGATTGGGATGATACTCTTATGAAATGGAAGTGACCCAAAAGATCTGAGCTAATCATGGAAAGGGCAGCAAGCCCTGTGGTGTTTCGGAGTCCCAAACCAGTAGTGATCAGTTACGCTGACTACAATGCCATAAAGAGAGATGATACCCTTGAGGACTCAGATGAGGATGTGATTTTGGTGGTGTCTCAGGACCTTCCACTTACATCCACAGATGCTCCTCACTTTAGAGGCAGGGCAAGACCTCAGGATCAAATACTGGTCACTGATGCCCCCAGCAGTTCTGGAATACAGTCTCCTTCCATCAGTGGTGGTTCTGGGTATAAGAATGATGGTTCACAGGATTTTCAGAGCCAGGAAGTAAAAATACACACAATCTGCTGTTCATATTGTGGTGAGGAGGGCCACTCAAGGGAAGCCTGTGACAGGAGAGCAAGCAGGCCCAGGTGTTTGAGAACCTGATCACCCTGAAAGAAGTGACACATAAAGAGGAAGAGAAATCAAGAGACTTCTCTGGTGAACACAATGACCCCTCTCAGCCACAGTAACAGGCTAGACCCAGCCCTCTGTGGACCCTCAAGTATATTCAGAAGACTGGTGATGAGAAGGAGGAAGCAGACATCTATTAGCATGAATTCATCCTCAAAGTGGCTTTTGGGAAGGTACCAGCAATGTGGAGGGAGGAATGTTCTGACCTCTGTCCCTGCTCCCTCCTGTCTGCATAAGGATCTGTTCTCTGTGTCTATTTCTTTGATGATTTATTCTTTTATGAAAGGAGTATAACTTAAACATTCAAAAAATGAAGGAACATACAAAGACTAATGTACGTATTACATGAAACTCTCCATCCTTATATTACATGAAACTCTACCATTATATAACCATTCTCAGACCTTTGATGAATATCCTTTTAGATAGCTCTCTATAACTGCACACCCAGATAGACATATGTGTAAATAAGGTGATCAAATATAAAGTGCTGTTCTATACTGTGTGTTTTTTCACCAAACTATATGTTGTGGACTTCTGTCAATGAATATGTATAAGAATCAAGTTTAATGTTTCTATGGGTGATACTGCTTTTAGGAATATAGAGGAAAAATAAATAAGAAAAGTAAATATAGAAACTATAATGTGGGAAGGGGGTGATACTGTGGAGTTTTTACCAGCCTCATTTACAGATGAGGCAAAGGGAAACTGAAGTGGAGTGAATATCTCCCAGAGAGCCCCCTATCACAACTGAGCTGTCTCCTAGGCCACAGGGTCAAATCTGCACCCATTAATAATGTCCCAATGCTTTCTTCTCTAATGCAGCCTGAGAAGTCTGCCAATGGGTGGGGGTGGGAGCAAAAATGGACAATGGGTATTTCAGGGGGCTCCATTCCTGTACACTTTGGGAAGGGGCAGCTCTTCCTTCCTTGGGAAGATTTCTTAAGTTGCTGTACCTGCCACTTCTGGACACCTGATGGCAACAAAAAGACTGTCTTTTGGGCTGGGACTACCTTCTGCCTCTTGCCCAGTTACAGAGAAAGCATCTTACTCCTGAGAGACTGGTACTTAGGGGAGGCTCAGCACTCCCCAAGCCTCACCTTAGCTACATGCTAGAGGACACAAACAGCTCAAGGACTCCAAGCTAACCTCGCCCTGACCCAAGAAATGAGAATAGCCAGTGAAGGATGAAAAGGAATCTGGATTCCAGGGCATGGGAAAAAGCATGGGAATTAGCGAGAAAGCCCATATACCCATTAGAACTGAGGAAAGAGATCACAGATGGACCTTCCTGGACATATGCTGCTGCCCTGTCTCATGATTTCAGTTTGGAGAGTGATGAAAAATGAGATGTGACTTCAGTCCCTAGGGGTTCTGTGTTCCTTGTGGGTATATCAGTTCTTATCCTTGTGAGCTGGACAAGGTTGGTGGGGGGATTTCATTTAAGGCAAGGAGTTAAATGAATGCAGACCTGATGGAGTCTGTCAGGAAAGAAATAGGGCTGAGAGGACAAGGGAGACAGTGTGAGGGAGAGGAAGCACACAACTGTGTGGGGAGGGGAGCCAAGGGCAATGACCAGGCAGGGGACTCACATTGGACTGACTGGAAACTTGGGAGGAATTTCAGATCCGAAGGTTTCACACACAACCCTCGGCTATGTTGTCCCAAGGGGAGGGGTGTTGGGGCTCTAATTCATACTAAGAGCTGATGGCCTGCTCAGAAGGGACAAAGGAGTCCTCCAGGCTGAGGCCCCAAGGGAGGGCTAGAAACCAGGCACTGCCAGAAGTCCACTGCAGCCTTCCCTGGGCTGCCATGAAGTGCTTCTGCTTCCAGAATCCCCCACCAGCTCCTCCCTGGCTTCTTGCTCCTCCTCCACCCATGGCCTCACAGCCTGACCTTACAGTGCCCCCAAGCCCAGCCACCCTCTCTATGGGTGGGAGCTGGAGACTGGGCCACCTATGCTCTCTGCCGGCACCCCTCCCTCACACCCAGCACCCCTGTTTGCCTTAAGCCTCACCTTCTTAACCTCATGGCCAGAGGGAGACTGGGAGGGCCTCTGCCTGGATCCTTGAGCTGAGAACTGGCCAAGAGCCAAGGCTCCAGAGACCCACTCCTAGCATCCTTCTGGGGCACTTCTGGGCCCTTGGTAGCCACCTCCATCTCTCCAGAGCCAAAAGGGACCCTTCCTCCATAGTAGGCATGAAGT